GAAAAGAAACAAGTTAGTACAAGCAAAATAATCAATAGAGTTAAAAGATACTATTTAAAGATAAATATAACACACACCAACACGATCATGGTATCTACCCAAAATGATTTGCTTTCAAGAAATTCTTCCTAACCGCATGGTATTTAGTTCGCATGCTTTTATTCAACAAAATTTAAAGCAAAAGGTAAAGGTTTAGAAATACTCCTCCTTTGTGTACACTTATTTTGGGTACCTACTGACGAACAGAGGTTCAATATGACTATACCTAAGGTGGCTATTCTACGGTTCACTACATGCATGGTTTTGGCTCTATGAGGAAAGGATACTCGAATTGTCCTTGATGTCGGTGCCCTCATTGGGCTGCCAAGCCCTCAATCCTAACCCATTACAGGCATAAATGGATCGAGTTCAATTCGAGAGTATTCACTTCCTTATACCCATACGAGGAATAAATCCCTACGGAGGTATAAGGCATATGTATCCCAGAGGTTATTTGCTAAAACTCATACGAAGAATAAATTCTTACGAGACTAAAGCGTTCATCCTTACATACTTGGAACGAAACTCAGGTCTAGAGCTTATGTCATGCAAATGCACATGATGCGTGTAAGGAGGAACATACAAACCTTTGACTCAAAAACTGAAAAAGTAAAAACTCTCAAAAGGAACTTTGATGTAGCTGAAAACAAAAATTAAATCTTTAGTATAAAGATAAGAAATTAAAAACTTCAATAAATGAATCATAAGTTAACTATAGACTCAAACCCATAATGTCCACCACTACGACAATGTGTAAACGACTTACAGCCTGACTCTCTAAAAAAAGTCCCCAGTGGAGTTGCCAAGCTGTCATAACCATTTTTTTTTAACAATTAAGTTTAAAAAATATTATGATTTTGATTTGTAAAATTGGCGATTTTGAATTAATTTGAATTAAATTGAATGGGATTCGCCATTGACCTTTGAGCTAAGTAGGTCGAATACCTAAAAATGTCTTTTAAAATAATTTTAAAGAAAAATCGTTTTAATACAAAAATTGGTACATGTTTACCAAAAATCCGATTTAATGAGTCTGGGAGTCGATTATGTGTGGGGAAGGATTAACACCCTCATAATCCCCAAAATTGGTACTTAGTCGCTTATATGTTGTCGCAAATGCTAGAAATTATAAATCGGATATAAAGTTAAAATATGATTCATTTATTAAAGTTTAATTAATTTGCTTCAAATTATTTATTAGGGAAAATCCTTTAATTCGAAAAGAAATATCGAGATTAACTCATCCTCCGACGGAAAGGCTATCTCTTCTTATTTCTTGCCTAAAAAGAATATTCTCTCCTTGATAAAAAAATGCAAATCGAATATAAAGTGAACATCAACATTTGCATAAAATAAATAGCTATTTAGAGAAACATGCATTGCATTATTTGACTTAAAATAAAAAATGAATTAATTAGCACATAAAAAAGTAACTTTGATTTATTTCAAGTCACATTTCGTTCGAATGTCATATCGGAACGCACTACTTCGACCAAGCAATGCTTTTCACACCCATTCTACAAATAAGTGTTCTCGAAAACATTCGAGCTAGAGACATTTAAAATATTATCAAATAATAATCACCTAGCGAAAATAAAAATATGTACATAAATAAAATGCATAAAATGGATAAACATCCAAATGCGTAAACATATACATATATGAGCATTTAATATTACAATCCGTGCATAGCGACATTTACAACGAAAATATAGACCCTAAGTTAAAAGTACTAATGTACAGTAAATAAATAAAACAAATATCAAATTAACAAGATAAATAAAAACAGGGAGCTAAACAGGTAATAATCCATATTTTGAGACTAAAACCAGTGATTAATTTACATATACTAAAATATATAGGGATTGAAGGCACAAAAAAACCGAAATCGGACAAATATTAGACAAAAAGGACTAAAATGAACTAAAAACAAATTGCTAGATCAAGCCAAATATTTAACCAAAACATTAAAACAAATGTACGATGACTAAAACGTAAAAAAAAGAAACGCTCGAATCCATAAGTATCCCATTTCATTTCAAACCTGCATACCAGATTACAAAACTCAAGGGCCTAAAATTGTAATTTTCCCCAAAACTTGTGAAAACACGAGAGTGGGGGGGTCAAAACTACATCGTTTCGATCCGTGTATATAAACCTGATTTTAAGGCCTTTTCCTCATCCCATTCCTCAACTTGTTTTAGAAAATGAAGAGATAGATTTTCCCAAAACTCTCTCAACTTTCCCTCGTCGGGAGAGAGGGTCGTCGTTCTCTGGTGACGGTTCACGGTCGTTCACGACGGCCGGAGGAAACAAACCCCCAAACATCCCTCTCGTCCTATTTAACCCAAATATCACCCCTATTTAGTCTTAAAATCACTCTAAATCATAGATCTAGGCTTTACCTCTCGAAAAAAAAGGATCCGACGACCTTCAGGCTTATAACACTTCAAACTGAGGTCTATGTTTCTCTCTTTTTTATTTTTCTTTGTTGATTTTGGTTGTTCTCGGATTTCCCCCCTCTGTTTGTGTTGTTGTTTTTTTATTTCGAAACTTTTTTCCGATTTTCTTGCTCTCTCTCTTTCTTTGTTTTTTCCATCTCTTCGAATATGGTCCTATCATTTTTATCTTTTTTTGTTGAATTTTGGTGATGGCTTGTTGTTTTTGAGGAAATAGGGTTTGAGTACCCTATCTCTGCAGATTGACACTCCCGGATTTGCCTTGGGATATCATTTGGATTTCTTTTTATTTTTTATTGGGGTTTTAGGTTGGATGGGATTTTTTCTGACTTGATGTTTTTTTCTATCACTGTTGATGATGACGGCAGCTCTGGGAGCTTGTGTTGGCGGCTGAAGTGATGGACGGTGAAGTGCATGAGCCGATTAATGGCTGCTCAATGCTGACGGCGGTGGCTGAAACATTAGGGTTAAAACCCTAAGCTCTTGGGTGATCTGGACCGTTGGATGGGTCCAAATTCAACGGTTAGAAATGAAGGTGACGCTGGGTAAGAAGAAACTCTAATGTGTTTAGGGTTTTGATGTAATTGGGTCGGATCAAATCTTGGGCTTCAAGTTTTTTTCAAATGGGCTCCAATCGGGTATGCTATTGGGTTTTGGGTGTGGGTCACTTGTTGGTTTTGTTATTTAGGCCTGCAAAATGTAATAATATTAATAATAATAAAAGTAATAATAATAATAATAATAATAAAAGAATAATAATAATAATAATTTAAAACCCAGATAAAACGGGTCTACAGTCGGATAAAAAATTATTAGATAAAGTACACAAATAGTCTCTCGACTATAGAACGTTACTTTGTTGAGTCCCCGACTATTAAAAATTATAAAATGATACTTCAACGACATTTTTTAATTCCTCTAACTATTAAAAATTACAAATTTGTCATTCGATTATTCACATGTTCCAAAGTTATCCTTTTCTATTAAAAAAGTAACGACCCTCTAAATTGGACGTTAACTTGTTAAATGAGACATTAAAATTATATTTTTAATGATATCTACAGGTACTGTCGTTGCTTTCAAACATTGACTAACTGACATAAACATTAGCTTGATGGTGTAATATAAACGGAGAGCCAGTCTACAAAATATAGCTCAAATAGTTATAGCATCATATTTTATCATACCTCGATAAAAAAATGTTAACATTCAACTCAGACAGCCGCTAATTTTTTAACGAAAAATGACAAGTTTGAAACATATGAATAGTACTTCAATATTGAATCGCATGCTCCCATACCCCTATATAAAACTATGAAACTTCAATTCATATTTTTAACAATAATTTTTTACTTCTTATAATTAAATTTCTCAAATTTTCATTTTATTTAATTTTATCTTTCGACTGTAATTTTTATGGATTTTTTCTTATCATTTATAGATTAACTCCTTTATATCCCATCAATATTTTATTCTCAAATTTTATTATTTGAAAAGTAAAATTATAAATATATTTTATAATTTTATATTATATTTTATTTATTAAATAACATTACAAATTCTACTTATACATGTAAAAATGAAGAAGTATCTATATTTATCGTATATGATTAAAGTAAGTTGTTTAAATTATAACCAATTTGTATCACAATATTATAAATGATTACTATTAAAAATTAAAGAAAAACTTGAACGACTTGCTCAAATTTCATAAAGTTAACTCGAAAAAAATTTAAATAAAGTTTAAAACATAAAATATAACTCAGCAATTCGACTAACTCAAAATTTGTTTACTCGACTCGATTGAATGTTTACCGCTGTTGATAAAAGTATTTTTATTTTTTTATTATTTATTTATATGTTTAGAGAATTACCTTTGATCATATTAAAATATATGACAAATATGAATATTGGATAATTCTGGTGAAAGAAATATTCTATCTATACTAATGTAAAATTAATGAACTTTACAATACCATAAATGGATAGCTTTATATATATTATCATATATCATACATATACACTTTTTCCTACCAAGTTTATTTTCAAAGCTGATTCTCAGAGAATTGACTTCGTTTGGAAATCCTTTTCTAAACGAATTTTCCTAATGTAAAAATACATTTTTTTAACTTTTTGATTTGAATCAATAATCACATTTCAAACGTAAATTTTTATTAAAAATAAGTTATTTAAAGATGCTTTTACGTTTCATACGAAATTTTGAATCAAAAATACTTTCATATACATTCTCAAAGAGCCCCACCGATTGCAACGCAATACAATGATGCTAAGACCTTTGAATTATACTTACACTTTCGAGTTTATGCATCTTAAAAGTAATTAATTATCATTTATAAAAAATAGAATTTACTTTAATTCAAAAGAGATAAAGCTCGATTAGAAAGTTTTATGTCAAGTAAATATAAGGGTATATAATAGATGTAAATACAAAAATTGAATTCATCCCTGATTCCAGTGATGTAAAGCTTATTTCTACAACAGTTTTAAAGTAAAGCTTGCATTCCAGTGAAGTATGAAAGTAGATATGCTGCTCCTAAAAAAATGTAATATACACAAAAGGAAACCACAGATGATCTCAGATTTACATGCCGGTTAGTCTCCTCCAATGGAAAATACCAAAAAGAAAAACCCAACTCAATCAATGTCAACAGCTTTAGGTATATCAAGACATGCACTACAAAGCTTACATCAGTGAGATAGAAGAGATTGTGTGTCCAAAAGCATCATTGCGGTTCGTAACACATTACCTGATAGATGAGTTCTTTTTTGGTATGGCTCAGTTCCGTAAAACTCCAACCTAGGATGATGATGATGATCTAGCCGAAGAAGATTCTCCCAAAGAGACAGATGCTAGAGAAGACGCCCAAACACGGGCACTCTTCGCACCTTGCTGAAAATTCCGGGTCTTGCATAGCCTCGGTTTGGTCCAAACTCTCCGAACACCGACCATGTGAAGGGCTCTTACAAACAGTTGACTCGTTTCACTGAATATTTCCAAGTTTAACTGCGGAGCGTAGCAAACCCAGAGAGCCTTGAGACGAGAAAGTACTTCCAGGAGTACGAGTGAAAATACTCTCAGACAGAGAAATAACAAAGCAAAAGCCAAGTAGGGCTCCTGTTTTACTATCTCCATCACTGACGAGCCATTCCTTATTACACATTTATCCTGGTCTCCAGATACATTGGATTCTTTTTCGGCAACATATTGAACGGGTTCAAATCCTGATATCCAGACACTCGTGTAAATGTGATAATGTTCAACTCATAAACTCAGGTTAGTTTTATCAAGCTACAACTCAATGCAGAAGAGGATATATCTTTGGCATCAGGGAGTGAATACCTGTTGTTTTCTCGTAAAATTGAACAATTAAGTGGAGATCTTTTGGTCCACTGTATCTTGCCCTTGATGTTCGGTTCACAATTAAAATTGAAGGCAAGGTATGAATTCCATACCTCGAAAATATACTGTGATACATGTATAAAAGGTATTAATTTGAAAGTTGTCACAAAAATCTCTCATTGCATCGTGGATAGTATAAAACAACAGCAGAGCTATATAATCAATAGGAAATTACTTCGAAAGACATAACTACTTTGTTGGAATGAGGACATAGATATGTGATTCCTCGACTAACTGATTCGCCAAATGTCATTAGCACCTATGTTGCTCCGACTCTTTATTTTCGTCAACTACCCATATCTGACATTTATGTCTGATAGCATGGATAGAGTGCTATGACCTCCAAAGACTCCAAATACACAGAAAAAAGCTTAGACAGAATGATACATACCCGAGTCCGAGTAACAAAGATAAGCAGTCTAAGCAATTCAAAACCGTGAAACTGTGTTTGACCACAAGGATGCAATATAAAAGAGATCAATCAATAAAATGTTTAAAGTCATGTCAAACACTATAAGTAGAACAAATCAACACTTCAAAAAATTCTCTCCTTGTACCATTCATATAAGAATATCCCCCCCCCTTTTTTTATTAACGTGAAAAAAATTTAGTTGAGGAAAAAGAAAAAGAAATTTAGTAATTCATGAACAAACTCTAACGCTGAAAGCGAGATAAGTAGCTACACACCTTGGTGAAGCCAAAGACTGTTCGACTGCCAAATGCTCTAATTGAGGGAACATGAAACTCAGAATGTCAAATTTTGGTCGCAAACTGCGAGAAAATGGGCACCACGAAGCATAAAAGAGCACAGAAGTGTAACCATTTTGCTGTGAAGTCAATGCTCTGTCAAGGAAATCTCCATTAACCTGCATAGATAATGAGAAACATACATAACATGCTATCAGAATGTGTCTCCAAGAAATTGCAAGTAATGCAAATTTGGTATTCCTAAAAACATATCTTACAATCACAGAGAACAGTGATGTAAGCTAAATTACAGGAAGGATGGCAAATTTACTAACCATAAATGTGATGACTAGAGGAGAAACATGAAGACAACCGCATGAACCGTAATTGTTGACGATTTGGTAATACAAGTTGAATGATGCTCAAGTCAATGGTACTATTTAACGGATTTAATTAAAACTATCGTAGAAAATGGATAAGTAGAAAGTAAACAATGCCCTTAAAGAAAAAAAGGGAACAGGTACAGAATGAAGAGGTAGTTATATCCTATACCTCATTTGGCTTGAGTTTCTAGCCACATCAACAACATTTAGAGCATCTTTTTCTTACAAAATCAGTCTCATTTGGAAATGCAAAACCTTCTTCTAAATAAATGGAAGTTTAGAGAGTAAATCCCTTTTCAAACAATAGTAAGTTTTGAAATAGCTAATTGGAACCTGTAAAGAGACTAGCTGTTGATGCAACACTTAGAGCCGCTAAGAAATAGAGGAAATAATTAGTGAGAGAAGCTCCGGCTTCTCTATAACCCAGGCAATTTCAAATTTTAAATTTCCTCGAGCCCAGGCGTTTGTGATAGATATTTATTCTCTCCACCGACATCCACCTGTTGTTCGCCGCCACACTCCGACCACCTTTTTGTCTCTGTTTTTTCCTGGGAAGATCGACGGCCCACGATGATTTCAAATATGGCCTTAGATTTGTGTTTGAGACATTCAATCGTCGCAGATCTTCACGTGGTCCTCTGCCGATTTTCGGTGCTTCCCGCCGACCGTGGTCGTCACAGCTCACCACCGGACTCAGCTTCTTCTCGCGACCAAAACCCCCTATCCTAGGGTCTAGATTCGGTTCTTCTCTCCATTAATTTCCAGTGAATTGGTTCGGCAGTAAATACCCTATTCTTCAATCTTTCAATTTTTTCCAATAAATCCTTATTCCAGCTACCCAGATCTCTCCATGAAACTCCAACGCCCGTCTCAGCCCAGGCGAACTCGTGGGTTCGCTGCAACAACCGCAACAACTGTGAACCCCTCTAGTACCCCTTCTGGTCCCCACGACGCCTCCACTTTTTCCTACTCCAGCAAGGAAAAACGCGAGAGTGAGAACGATAAGGAGAGGACAAAGCTCCGGAAACGGAACAGGCGAGCCTTCACCAGACGTATGCTGGCCGGATTGAGGCAGTACGGTAATTTCCATCTCTCCGTGCGTTATAATATGAACGATGTACTGGTCGCCTTGGCCCGTGAGGCAGGTTGGACAATTGAGGCCGACGACACTACCTACAGACACTCGCCTTCGCCCCAAAATCAGCAAAATTTCAGAGTATTTTCAGCGAGGTCGGGTGAAAGTCCTTTATCAACCGGGCGTTTGAAAAATTGCTCTGTTAAAGCTACTTCAGATTGTCAACCACCTGTTGTTAGGACTGATGACAATGGAATGTCTTCTTCTCAAGGAGGGAAACAAAAGGTCGAAAAGAATTATGTAGTACAGGCAACACCAGCTCTTCCTACCGCTGATATTGATCATGATGGAACCAAAGAGAGCACCACGAAAGGGTACTCCTTTGAAAAATTTTCCAAAGGAACGAGGAGAAGAAACGGGTTTCAAAATTGGTCTAAGGATGGTCATCCAAGAATCGGAAATGGGATCAGAAATGGTTGTTACACGATTTTTATCGAAAACCTTCTAGAGACGATCCATTGGAAGAGACTTGGGTCTATTTTTGGCACACATGGTCATGTTATTGACGCCTTCATTCCTAAAAAAGAAACTCGAAATGGGTTCGGTTTGGGTTTATTCGCTATGCAACAATTGAAGAAGTCATGATAGTGATATCAAAGATGAATGGTAATTATATTTAGGGCAGCAAAGTCAGAGTCTCTTTAGCTAAATATAAACCCCGACAGTCTTTCTGGAGGAAGTCCTCAACAATTGTTCATAGTAAATCTGGGAGGGAAGATATTTCGAAGAATAAACTATTTGAAGTTGAGGGCGTAGTGGACGAAGATAAACTACAAGTGTTGAGCAACTGTCTTGTGGGGTGATGCAAGAACTTTATCAAAATTGGTAATCTTGCTAACCAAATACAAGCCAAAGGATTAGCTGGTTTCACGCTAATGAGAGCTGATGGAAATGTAGTTCTCATGGTTTTTGAAGACTCTGATTCGTTGAGAAGCTTGAAGGATGATAAGTTAGAAACGCTTGCAGAATGGTTTTCCAGAGTGGAAACTTGGTCAGAGAGCCTAGTGGTGGAGTGCCAGCGCGTGTGGTTAGTTTGCGAAGGTATCCCTTTTCACGCTTGGAATTGGGATACTTTCAAAAAAATTGCAACTAAGTGGGGCAAGTTAATAGCAATTGACAACAGTTGTGAGTTTCCATCGTCTTTTGATCGGGCTAAAATTCAAATACTCACAAATGCTCAAGGGAGAATTGATGAGTTATTGGAGTTGAGAGTCGGTGATAATTTATTCAATGTCTTGGTGCATGAAGTTGATCCTTCCTTCAAACCTAATTCTTGGGTCCCTGAAGATTGCGATATTTCATTAGAACTTGTTCCTCCTATTGGATCGTGATTGTTCGGTAGCTGTATTCAGAGGTGTTTTTTAGTTTGGGGTTGTGATTGTTGATTTTTATTTTGCTAAGATATCTTACATCTTGAGGTGTATTTTAGAAATAAGGTTATTGTCTTAGGGGCTTTTTGTTTGAAGATGTAAGATTTCTAGGTGATATGTGTAGGAATTATAGAAATATATGATTATGTAAATATCCTTTAATTAAGGGATTCTGTAAATATTCTACAATCCCTTATTTTAAGGGATCATATCTCCTAGGATTAGTATTTTTCCTTTCTTAGAGTTTCCTACTTTAGAGAGTTGATTTGTATATAAATATGTAATCTGTCCTATTGAAAAGAATAAGAAATTACAGAGAATTACTCTGATTTCTACAATATGGTTTGTAATGGTGTATATTCCCATATGAGGGATCAGCGTTCCACATGTACTTGGTCTACTATTTAATAAAATATGAGGCACTCTTTTCTTCCTTCCTTCCTATGTTCTTCAACATACTTCTAAGTATGTGGAAGAATATGAAGGGAGTTTTTAATGAGGCCTCCAACTTCTATAAAAAAAATAGCTAATTGGAAAGTTTCCGATACTTTCAATGGAATAAAAGAATTTAGCTAACCATTGCACCACAAAGTAGACAAGCTTACAACCAAACACTTCAAGTTAAGAAACATAAGGCTATGACTTCATGCATAGATTACTCAAATTGCAAAAACACCAGCTGAGTCATTTAAGAAGGTTCAACTTAAGAAACCTGGATCGATGCATGCTTGGATGCAATATTTTACGGATATTACTTATCATTGATCAGGTGAAGGACATCAAGTACCAACATCTCCCATACATCCTAAAAAGGTATTCTAGAAAGAAAAATTGTTCTGTACTTGCTTACTATTGCATTGGAAAGAGGAAAAAAGTGGATATTTACTATGTTTTCAGCTATAGACATCAATATACATCTCTTCCAAACCAACATATAGAGAAAAGAGGCCTAACCTAAGGACTCTTATGATTCGTAAACCAACTGATATGGGAGTATTCTACGAACAAATTCAATGTTACATATCTTCAATAAAGCTATGCAGTACAGATAACATATTTCGCTAACCCAGCTTATACTAGCATCGAATTGCAGAAGGCTTAAATCCTAGAATATAAGACTTAAGTAGGGAATGTAGTATACAACATGGCGCAAATAGCCTATGTAGCTATAACTCTTCATTTTGGTTGAAGCAAGATTTAAATAGTGGTCTGCTATCGGAATAGCAGTCATTATATAGCGGTAAAGATGCCGTCCAAAATCGTTATTTGACCACCGCGATATCCGCAATGGCCGCAATAGCACCCGCTATTGCCGCAATCGTGATAAATGCAGCGCAACCAAAAACATGACAGCAACCGCTATTTAAATCCCTGGGTTGAAGTAATCGAGTCTAATAAATATCTGGACATGGATATGGGAATATGATCCTCTAACGACCCTCCAAATATATGAAAAAAAACTTGGAAGGAAATGTTTCAATAACTAGGTGCTCTTGGTTTCAAATACATACAATAGCATTACAATTCAAAATCTTCAAGAAGATAATAGATATATTAAAAGTCCTCAAGCAAGCTAAATTTTGCAGCTTCCTTTCTCTTTTCTCTCCGTTATTTAATTTCTGCATATTAAATAATACCATTAAAACCCAATACCCCTAACCGTTTTAAAAGTCAACCATAAACCTTTCTTCTGATTCTTCAAATTTTTACTACTATGAAAATTTCCACAATAATACCCTAACATTTCAGGCTAAAATTCGCAAAAGATAAATAAAAAAAAGTTCCCTTCTTTTAGCGTAATTAGGCAAAATCATAAACAAATAAAATCAGATTTTAAAAATAAATACAATAAAAATTTGAATAAAATGCCAAGAACCCATTGTTCCTAAATTAATAAATGCATAAAAAGTAAAAATTCCAGCAAATTTGAGCTGAAAATTACCTTCAGCGAGGGAATTGGAGAGATCGAAGGAGAGCATTGAAAGTTAATATTTTTAATGAACACATCAGCTTCATGCGAGCAAATAGAAGAACACAGAACGCAGCGTATAGAACAAAAGGCTGTTATATAGAAGAACAGAAGAAGAGAGGAAGAATATGAAGAACCCATTTTGGATTTCATTTATAAAATAAAAAAAAATCACGACGAAGAAGAAATGGGAAAATTGAAACCGAAAAAAGAAATTAAAATCAAAAGATATTTATACAAATTTTGTGAGAAGGGGATGGGTTGGTGGTAGCTGTGGGCTATTTTTTTCGCGGTTGTGGGTAACAAAAACTGATCTTCGGTCAGCCTTGGTTGGCTGTTAATTTTATTTTAAAGAAATGTAAAATTGCTGCTTTCTTTTGGGGCATTGGAAACTAAGAAATTTGAGCAGTTTCAGATAAAAGATAGGGTTAATTACTGGAATGCTCACTTTTGTTTAAGTTGTATTCACTTTTGATCAATAATTTTAAAATAATTATTTCTCAGTCATTTATGTTATTGATTTATTAAATTTTGATCATTGAGCTGTTAAGATGTGTTAGTTTGATAACATGAAAGGATTAATTTTTAATTTGACCTATGATATTGAAATAGAATTTCGATTTGATCCCTAAACTTTAAGTAAAATATCATTATGACACTAAAACTCTAGATTAAATATCAATTTAATCATTGAACTCGACCAAAGTCTCTCGCCCCCAATCGCCACACACCATCTTTGTTTCCGATCATCTTCGACTGTCATCATCGACGACTGTTACACCCTAAAATTTCTAGTTCACTCTTTGTTTACCTCTTGAACATGAATATAATGTCTATTTCATGAGAAAATGTCCCAATTCAATAAGTTAACCAATAAAAATTTGACTTCCTTTTAAAACTAAATCATAACAATACATTTATTATTATATTCATTTTAAAAATAAGTGCACCAAAAAAATTAAATCTATATCTAATCAAATCCATACCTTTTTATTTATAATATTTTAATATAATATTTTTGTTATGATTATAATATTAATTATATTTTTAATATCTATAAATTATAATATTTTTAAGAAAAATGGGCCTTCTTAAAAGTCACTTCTAAACCTACAAAGGGAAAAGAGTGTGCTAAGAACTTGTATTACCATAAACATGATCATTGGATACTGTACAAGATATAAGCTTATGACAAATTAAGTCAAAATATAAAACATTACCAGACCTAAGAGCCCATGTAGCTATAGTATGAGCCACAAAATTACAAGGTCTATGAGCATAACAAGCCTTGAAGTGGATCCTAGGCTCTAGTGTCTTACGAGCTTTCAAAAGGTGGTAACCCAACATGGATAGATCCTCCTCACGTCGGGACAACTTGTTAACAACGAGCATCGATTCTGATTCGAAAATGACACGAGTCCAACTATAATCGTTAGCCAATGAAAATGCATCACTGAAAGTATGAATCTTCGATAGGCTAACTTCAACACAACCTGGCGATGCCGTAGTCATTCCTCTAAGTACCTAGCCGGGAGAATCATGAGCAATAACACCAACAAGTTCCACCTCACAATGGGTTCAAAAGCACCATCCATAGGAATGGTAACGGGGCGAGTTTTGCTCGCCCCGCCCCGTCCCCGAACCCAAAATAAATACCCTTCCCCGACCCCGACCCGATCCTCGTCGGGTTTTTTATCAGGGCGTCCCGTCGGGGATTTTTTTTGCCCTGTCCCCGAACCCGACCCGAAATATTATACTCAAACCCGAACCCGAACCTGAAAATATTATATATATAATTAATATAAAATATATAAAATATTATATATAATTAATATAAAAAATATAAAATATTATATTTATATATATATATATATAATCGGGGCGGGGATACCTTGTCCCGTCCCCGAACCCGACCCAAAAAAATCCCCGATACCCGACCTGAACTTGACCGGATTTCGGGTTTTCTGGTCGGGTTCGGGTCATTATGCCATCTCTAACCATCCAATGTAATTATAACGTAACCAGAAGGGGAGGTTTCCATTTCGTCTGACCTAGCAGCAATGACATTCCGAGAGTAACACGCACAGTCCTCACTCTCTTCAACGCTTGGTTCACGGCCGATAATAATTCTTGTTGCAAGCACTGAGCATTGATAGCCAATATCCATCATGCACTTTGGAATTCCTTCTGTTCTAAAAAAGAAAAAAAAGTAAGCTAAGTCATCAATCTTCAGAGATTATCAAATCGAGCCAATCTAATGGATATACAAGTTGACTAGATAGAAAAGAATCTTGTAATCCGGTACAAACAAACATTTCCTGAGCATATGTGCAGTCTCTGAAGACGTGAACGATCATCTCTTCATCCATTCCACACATTAGACATATACCATCACTTATTCCGGCCTCACACAAAAGCTTACCAACCGATAAACCACCATGAGCCACTAGCCAAGCAAAGATCTTAACCTTAGGTAAAACTTGCAGTTTATCTATTAATTTCCAAACTCTTGAGGTAACCATCACATAATGAGAAGGTCGTTGAAGCCACCTGTATCCCGAACGAATTGAATAAATACACGAGTCATGGTAACCCCAAATAATCATATCCCTATTGGTTGGAGTGATGGTGTCTTCAAAATCAATTCAGCGTCTATAGATTGAAAATTTGATGTACTATTGACTCATTCTAAGAAGTTGTCCCCTCTTGCATGAAATTCCAAGTCCGGAGCTGTTGTGTAGGAAGATAGGAATAGTTTCCAATAGATAGACTAACTTTGATCCGCCCTAATGATCTTTGTCATGTGAATATAACTATTCTGTCATACTCACTAGAATAATGCACCTGTTAAAGCTTGAATGGTTTTGTGAATACCCTTCCAAGCATAAGAACTTCTATCGCCATTAAAGGCACTTAATATGTTGCAATTTGGATAGTACTTTGCTTTCCATACTCGTGCTAATAAACAGTCAGAATAATGAATTAATCTCCATTTTTTTACCGAGCATAACCAAAATAAAATAACAAAGATCCCTTAACCCAAGCCCCCTTAACTCTTCAAGGTACAAATCGTTAACCATGCCAATAACGACTATCCATGCTTCTAACGACTATCCATGCTTTGAAATCTTACATGTCCACCAAAATCGTCACATTTTGCCAGAGACTTCATTAAGAATGTGTTCAAGAATCAGATAACAAAACATCACATACTGAGGAGGGTTTGGGTGACGAATTTTATAAATACCTCCCTACCACCATAGGATAACAACTGCTTTTTCCATCTAGTAACGCGTTCATGAACCTTATACCGTAGATAACCAAATGTACGAGTTTTGTTTTCCCCAATATATAGTGGTAGTCCCAAGTAACGGCCTAAGGAGTCAATAGCATGTATACCTTAGGTATTAATCATTTGCGTACGATGTTCCGGTAAGGTTCATGGGCTAAAGTAAAATACCAATTCAGTCAAGTTCACACGTTGACCAAAAGTGGCTGCATAAACATTTAATATTTCTTTGATCTGATTAGCCTTATACATGGAGTTATTCAGAAAGACCTGACTATCATCCGCAAAAAAAGAGATGAGAGACACGTGGACCTCGTTGAGAAGCTTGAATCCCTTTTATCAAACTCGTCCTTTGTGTTTTATGGAGCAATGCTGACAATCTTTAGGTAACAAATAGGAATAGAAAGGGCGATAATGGATCCCTTGTCTCAATCCCTTTGTGGGGTGAATTCACAAGTGAGTGAACCATTAACCCCGGCTAAAAAGATGACCATTGTAACACAATGTATTATTAAATTAATAAATTTAGGATCGAAACCTAGCTTGGTCATAACTCTTCGTAGAAAGTTCCATTCCACCATATCATATACCTTTTCAATATCTAATTTCATCACAACATCTTTGTTTGTCCCATTCGTTGCTGAATTCATGTAATGTAATATCTCATGAGCAACAAAAATATTACCAGAGATTTGTCGTCTCGAGAGGAAAGCAGTCTGATTATCGATTATACATAATTGTATAGAATCCTTTAATAGATTGACTGGTACCTTGGATACAATCTTATAGATCACATTATAGAGACTAATGGGCCTAATTTGTTTCATATGTGTAGGGGCCTCTACCTTAGGGATTAATACCAGAATCATTTGGTTCACCAAAGACAAATCCACCTCCCCTCGTAAAAGTTGTAGACAGAGATTAATTGCGTCCTCCTCAATCAGATTTCAATGGTTAATTTTTAATTTAACATATAATCTTTAAAGAATTTGATTTGATCCCTGAACTTTATGTAAAATATCATTTTGATCCAAAAAACCTCTAGATAAAATATCAACTAAATCATTGAATTAGGCCAAAGTCTCTCACCCCAACTACCATACATAATCTTTGTTGTTTATCATCTTCAACTGTCGTCATCGACGACTGTTGTACCTTAAAATTTCTAGTTAACTCCTTATTTACCTCTTGAACACGAATATAATGTATATTTCATGAGAAAATGCCCTCAACTCAATAAGTTAACCTATAAACTTTTGTCTCCTTTTAAAATTGAATCATAATAATAAATTTATTATTAATATTCATTTTAAAATAAGTGCACCAAAAAATTAAATCTATATCATATTCAAATCTATATATTTTATTAATAATATTGTTATACAATATTTTTTATGATTAATATTAATTATATTTTTTAATATATAAATTATAATATTATTTTATAAAATTTCAAATTTTAAACTAAGAATATCAGTCTTATTTTTTTTGTATTTCAGTTATATAGTTTGTTAGATAATGTTTTATAAAATTCAAACTCAAATTCTAGAATTTGATAAAAATAAAAAATCTATGTTTTGGTAAGAAAATAAAAAATAATAATTTAAAATTTTTAGATCATAGGGTTTGATTTAGAGTTCTTAGGTTCGAGTACTAACAATTACAAGTTATTTGAACATTTATTGTCAAATGATTGGGAGACTCTAGAACATATACAATCACTTGTGATCATCTTAGATTAATAAAAAAAATCAAGCTAAAATCTTAGAAGTTTGATTTTTTTTTGATTTTTTTTGTATTTTTTACCAAAACATTGAACACTTGTCATCCACAATATATTATTAATTTAAAGATTAAAATTTTATAAAATAATATTATAATTTATAAATGTTAAAAAATTATAATTTATATTATAAACATAACCAAACATACATATAATTGTGTTATTATTTTTTAGTATGTATATAAATAAATATTTTGAAG